CCAAAATCAAAAACAAAAAAAAAAGCATAATAAAAAAAGAGCAAATAAATAAATGAAACAAAAAAAATAAAGAAATCAATAAAAGCAATAATAAAAAACATAAAACAATAAATAATGAAAATAATAGGAAGAAAGAAAATAATATATTATATAATAGTTGGCAATAAAAATATATAAAATAAAACAAAAATTAATATAAAAAAAAGAATAATAATAAATTTAAAAAAAATAATAATAAATAAAAAAAAAATATAAATACACATACCAAATTTATATGGAATTACTGAACTGGCAAAGAATTGAAAAAAAATTTTGGTATTGCTTAATTTATTCAAATTACGAGTTGTCTTCGAGCTTTTTGACAATTTCTCCTGGGCCCGGAGTTCCCAGGAGGGCTTGGTGCTTTGCAACAAATTTTTGCAGATTTTTCTCCAACAATTCACATCAATCATCCCCGGACCACGGACCGATTTTCTCTCTACGGCCCAGCTGGCGGGTAATGGTCTATGAACGGATTGCATTTCATGATCAATTTAGTTCCAAACCGATGCTTTCCAAATAAGTTGTTGGGGCAAAAACTATTGGCCGACTTGTTGTTTTTGTAGTGATGTAGTGACATTCCTCAAATAATTTTTTAGAGTGCTACCAACTGAAAAGTTAATTGGTGGATAAGTATCTAGGACTGTTCGGATTACATACATAAAATCGAATGCTGTGAGGAATGAACAAGAAAAGCTCCCAGCGCCATCACAGTCAGATCTGCGCAACCGGAACGGACCCTGATTTTTATTCGGCCAAGGACTGTCAACTCGACGAAATTCTTCAAATTTATCTCAGGAATGTTTTCTGCCGCTACAACAGTAACAATATTTATTATATATTTTGACACGCCTGTGAAAGAATTGTCGTAAAAGACGATATTCCATCCATTAAATATTTTAAGTAACACTTGTTAGCAGCCGATCATCTCAGTTTATTTGTAACCAATACCCTGCTAGTCACAAAAATTTCCGCTGAGGCGCCGATTGACAACTCAATAAGCAATACATCGTTCAATAATTAAAAAAAAAAAAAAAACAAATATATATATATATATATTATATATACAGTTATTTTTCTCCCGTCTCAAATCTTCGCATACTTTACTTATGCACAAACACACACACACTAAAATTTAAAAAAAAAAAATAATAAAGAAATACGCGTACTAGAAAGCGCTAAATCAACTTTACTTGTTCAAACTACCAAATGCACAAATTTTATTAAATTACGGTACTTTTCATATAACTAATTGTTTTTGTGTTTTTGTTTGACTGCTCAGGACAGTACTACTACGGAAAACACGTTCTAAAGAAATGGGCGATTTTTGTTTGTTGTTGTTTTTTGTTTTGGATGGAATGGGGTTGGGCGGAGTTTGGGAATGTGTGTGGAACGTGTGTTTACTACAATTAATTACAATCAAGGGGTCACAACGTGGCTGTACAATGTGATTATTTATAGGTAAGTATGTATGTATGTCATATTATATAATATAATATAATATGTAATTATGTAATATGTGTGTTTATATGTATGCAATTGCAATTCGTTTGTTCGTTCTATGAAGCATACATGTTTTCGTTATTTTCGCATATAACTGTATATGCGTGCTGTATGACTTGGATGTTTGTGATTTCTATGCATCTCTAGTTTTTTAACCACAAAATGTTCACTCCGTTCGAGCGTTTGTTGCGCACGCTACGCGCGGCATTTTAGCAACGCAGCTTACATACAAACATCCGCCTCGGTCGGTTGCTGCTGCTGCTGCTGTGTTGCCACTTAAAATGCTGTTGAGCGTCGCTTGAAACGTCTCGTGTTCGCATCGACGGCGGTGACGTGTGTCGTGCCCGTCACCGTCGTGACATTTGCTGCGGCTGCTGTGCTGGTTGCACGCAATTTGGTGCATGTGCGCGTTGGTGCAGCAGCGCCTCTGCCGCCATGTGCTGCATTTGTTGGTGTGTTTGCTGTTGCTGCTGCTGTTGTTGTTGCGTTTGCAGTTGTTGTTGCTTTGGCTGCGGCGGCTGCTGTCACCAATGTGGATTGCTTGCAATTAGCCCAGCGGTGCATTTGATGCGAACATTTTGGATATAATCATTTGCGTGAAGACGCGGCGCCACCGACGCTGGCCAAGGATTCGCCGCGACTCTTTGAGCGTGTCATGTTTGTGTCTAGGCAGTTAAGAGAAATATTAGTTAACGTATGCGGAAGAGGTCTGGTTCTTACCTTTGCTGTTGCTTTTCTCCGCTTTGTAGGCGCGCATGGCCTTGCCACGTTTGTCCAATATCAACTTGTCGTAGCGCACAAAGATGCCGTGCTTCGGCTTGCATTGGAAATATTGTATACCCTGCACGGTGCCGTCATTCTTGCCCGTCGGCGTGTCCAGCTCAACACCAATCCAAGTGCCAGCTTGGAAGTGTGTGTTGCCGATGTAGCTGATGACGCCGCTCGTGTTGTAGGGACGTATTAGCACAGACTCACCAACTAGCACCCAGTCGGGTAGGGAGGCTTCGGTTTCTGCAAATAAAAAATATTGTTTTTTATTGATATATACGGCATATAGTAGGCAACATATAGTTAATAATCTTTTTTTTTAGGTATATGAGAGATAAGGATAGTATTGAACTGATCTTATATAATGATAATTGAACTTATCTAATTTGGTCAACACCACATATTATTAACAGAACAAGATATTTTCTTAGTTTCATTAAGGTACCTCACGTGACATCACCAGTATATATAAAGTAAAGTCAGCGAATGTTTCAAAACTTTGAATATCAGTTATATGGGGGCAAGGACAAGATTCGCCAGCTTTCATTCGTTTTAAGCACAAAGATACACGGTTATAAGGAAAATACGCTCACTTAAATTTATTAAGATAACTCGCATATAGGCCGATATATGCGGTATAAAGTCAGCCGGGAGTTTATCTTAGTTATTTAATAGCTAAGTAAATTATTGACTCGATTCAATTGATCGAGTAGGTCCGGAGATATGTGATTTCAACTAATGGTGGGCGGTGCCACGCCCATCGTCGATTTTTTACATCAGCTTCTATAAAGCTCTCTTGTATCATTGGGGATGTAAAACTTAATGTCTCTGACGTGTTTATTTATTGATTTATGGCACTTTTAGTAGTTTTTAATATAACCGTTACATGGGGAGTGGGCGGGGTTACCATCCGATTTCACCTACTTTCACACTGTCGCAAGCGGATTTATCCGTTGCAAATTTGGGTGTTATAACTTGAATGGTTTGCGAGATATATACTAAACCTATTAGGTGGCGAGGTCACGCTCTTTTTAAACATTTTTAAAAACCTCAAATGTACCTTCCTATTTTGATTATTTGCGTTTTTTGGGCGTGGCAATGGCTCGATTTCTGATTTTTTCATAATGTAAGAGGGATTAAGGCTCGCATAAATGAGATTCAGAAATATTGTATTATTCACCAAAAATATCAAATATTCGAACTTTGAATTTTGACTACTGAGAGGCTAGATTCTGCTCTATTTTATTTTATTATGTTCATCGACAAGCGTTCGGTTCATTTCACTCTACGAGGACTTATAGTAGAAAAATTTAAATTTATCAATTAAAAAATTTGCTCGAAGAATAAAGGTTTTCGCCCAGAGTTTGAGATGCGAGAACGTTCCTGAACTTGCGATGTTTAAAAGAACTAATTATTTATTAATCGATTTGCCATGCTTAGAAAGCCCACCTTAGCTGAGAACATGAGCAGAGTCATATGAGTCTTAGGAGCCGTAACTTATCTTCTCTCAAAAACAAGTACATTCCAAAGGTGCAAATCAACGAGTTCTTTTCTAATTCGGATACATTTAGTAAAATAATCGAAAAAATTTAAAAAAAAAAAAAAAAATTAAGAAAATAAAATTGACCATTTTATACCTGTATCGAGTTCCATGCTGCCGCTCATCGACACATTCAACCGATCGTTGGACGCCGTCAATATGCCCTCCATTTGTGCAACGGAAGCACGTTGCAACTGCGTACGCGACGCACCGCTATTGTTGTTGGTGCTTACGACACTGCTGGACATGACGTTGCCACCTTGTGGTGGTGTCTTTTTGCGGCGCACCACTTTACCGGCGGGCAGTTGGCCGCGTACAATGCCATTACCTTCAAACGGTTGGTGTTGTTGTGTTTCAGCCTCATTTGTTGTTGCTGTTGTTGTGTGATTAATCGTCTCATTGCCATTTTGATTGTCGGTAGCAATGTTGTTGCTAATTAATGTGGCTGTTGCATTTGTTGTATTCTTATTATTCTCACTATTGTTGTGATTGTTAATTAACTTGGCCGCTGTTGTTGTTGTCGTTTCGCAATTGTTGTTGTTCTTCAGTTCAACAACATCATCATCATTTATGGTATTTGCCACATAATCGCCGTTATTCGCCACATCATCCATATCCAATTCCATCTGTAGCTCGGCATTGGCAGCGGTGTATTGTGCTTTTGTTGTAATGTTTGGCAGCTTTGCATTTGTGTTGTTGGCCTCATTGTCGTTGAGTGTGTTAGGTGTTGTTCTGATTTCGTTAGTCTTCTCGCTGTTTGTTGTGCTTGCTGGTGCTAGTTTTTGTTGAATTTGCGATGGATCGCTTTGATCGTCGTTCATCGCCAAATGTGCTGTCGTTGTTTGCGCTGGTTGTTGTTGTTGTTGCTGTTGTTTGTTATTGCCATTCGCCTTTGGCATGTCTTTTAAGAATGGATTGAAGCGTGCTTGCCGGTTGGGTGGTGAATTCGATTGAAAGTCTGCAGTGGGGAAAAGGAAAACATATGGATTTAGAGAACTAAGTTTATTTTTTAATTAACATACTCTCTGGAAAATATTAATATATTTATTTGTTTTTCGGAACTGATGTAATAATTTTTGCTCAAATACACGAGTAAACAGTTGTTTAAAAGAAAAAATTTGCTAAATTAATAATTTTGGTTAGAAAATATATACAGAAAGAAAATATATACAGGCAAATTGTAAAACGTTGATATAGACTCTTTCAGCATCAAACTTAGACTTAAGGCGTTGAGCCTCTGTTGAGTTCTTACCTCATCGAGAAGAAGAAATCGCTAATGGACTAGTTGTTGTTATTGTTATAGCAGCATAAAGCAATTCATATTTAGGATAACCGGTTACCCACAGAAGAGGTCTATTGGATCTAGTACCACGAAAGATCCTAATGCCTGCTTTCGTTTTCTCCGCTTTTATGTGACTAAACTGAAGTATACGCGCTTGAGGGCTTTTATACCAACTATTTGACACTGTCTAATCCATTAGAAATCCTCATTTTATTGTAGTTATTGTTCTCGTGTGATACAGAAGTAAAGTTAGGGACAACCCGTATTCCCAGGCCTGTCACTTTATAGGACAAGTTATAATAAGAGTCATCACAATCACAGACCACTTAAATCATAGTTTTATAGAGACAAAGGCTCTAAGAGACTGTTCGTGTCATGTGGACCCTATTATTGTATGAACGAAGGATTCTCAAAGCCCATCCCTCTTGGATATACGACTTTTACTACTTGCTAAGAACATTACAACCTGAATTATGAGCATATGGTTTTTATTCGATTTACGCAAGTTCATCTTGGAAAGACATTCCACGTAACCTAATACAATCCAAAAACCTAAAATAACAAGAAAAAGCGGTAATACGGTTGCACCGAAGCAAGTATTTGATTTTGAAGAAAAATTCCGAAAATGTGCAGCTTCTTGGAGAAAAGAACGTGTGCAAAATTTCAGATCGATATCTCAAAAACTTAGAGATTAGTTCGCGTATATACAGACATACTGAAAAACAGATGGACATAGCTAAAACGATTCTGTGTGTTACAAGCTTTGTGGCAAACTTTATATACGCTGTTCAGGATATGAAAACTCTCTTGAAGACTCACCTGGTGTCTCATCAATGCTCATTGAACGCATAGAAGCGATGTCATCATTCGTCAAATTGCTGCACGACACCGCCTAAAAGTAAAAAAGTGAGTAATTTCCAATTAATAAAGCCATAAAAAATATTTAGTTAAAAATTAAACTGACCTGCGAACCATAGCCGCTCGATGTGGACGAACTCATGCTGGGCGTGGCCAGTCCGGTTAAATGCTTCATATTCGCATTAGCACTGGATGTATAACTTAAGTAGCTGTGATTGGAATGATTGCTGACATCCATGAATGAGTCCATGGTCTTCGAGGCTGTGAGCCGTGAGCGTGTATGATAATTATTCTGTTGATTCTTCTCCTGTTCGTACTCGTTATTGGTGTATTCCGAGTCGCTGTAGCTGTCTTCGGGCTCCTCGGCGAGTGCACGATGCACGCCGAGCGGCTCTTCGTGTAGTGTGGTCATGCGCATGCCCAGTAGCTTGCTGGTAGCCGGTGAAGCTGTGGGTTGTGGGTGTAAATTAGCGCTCATTAACAATTGTGTGTTAATTTGGTGCAAAGTGGAATGTGTGGAAATTTAATAAGTTTTTTTGGCTTAAAAGTAAATATTTATTTTTAGAATTATTTGTTTTTGTTTTTGTTTGACACCTACGCTTGGTCGGCGGATTGCGTTGATTGAAATTCAAGTTCAAATTCAAGAAAGTTGGACGCGCTGCATTCCGAAATGAGAAATTGGCATTTGTTATTAATGTTTGCTTAATAAATGCATGCATACATATGTACATATATATATATACATACATTAATATATGTATATACTTGTACATATATACATATGTATTTATGTTTTGGTTATGGCGAGTATTTTTCATATGTGTGGCAGAAACACAAAAAACTAAACTAAAATCACTTTGCTTTTGTTGCGGTGAACTGCAGATGCATCGACAACAACAACAATAACAAGAACAGTAACAAACTAAAGAAAACACACAACAACAATTCAAGGCGAAATTGGTGCGTGCCCCGAACAAACTCTAGAAATGTTTAATATTACACAGTGTTTAAATAAATTTCCACTAGAATCAATGAAAATAATTAAAAACTGAGAAATCTAAGTTATAATGCTGAGTAATAACTAGAAATGCTAGAAACGAAATGCTACAATTAAAAATGTATGCGCAGACTCAAACGTCTAGGCGTTTGCTAAACGGCTAAATGAGCGTAAAAAAAAAGCAAATAGAATTACAACACCGAGGTGAATTCTAAAAATGAGGTGAAATAAGTAATGCTTGTTTGTTGCAAATAACAGTATGCTACAAAAAAATTGTCGTATGATAAAAAAAAGGATCCGAATAAGTATATAATTATACCGAGATCTTTTTAAGCGTTGACCTTGAGATTTGACTTTTCTTCTAAACGAGTTTTGGGAATTTTTTCTTAACGTTTTCGACATAACCTATTATTAGGAAACTTTATTTTTAAATAAATATTCCAATAAAAATTGCGTTATTAGTGCCTAAACGCAATATTCTTCTTTAATACAGTTTATATAATATATATGTTTTTTCAGGTTATTCAATCAGTTTTTGGATACAAAAATCAATATTCCGAAAAAAAAAATTTTTTAAATTACTTTGGTTCACTTCCGACACAATTATCTCCAATTTGTGGCAAAGTGTCATTATACAATATATTTATGCCAATTTGGTCTTTTTAAAGTGGAGGTTTGTAATTGTATATCCATTGTATCGAAGTTTTTTAACTCAATACTGTTGCTTTCTCGTAAAACTAACTCATTATCTCGACAGAAGATTATAAATTATTGAGATCTGCAACAAAAATGATGAATATAAAATTTTGGCGGACATAACCTTGAATTCAACAACAAATTGGTACTAGCGCCTAAAATTGCTTTTTTCACTAAAGCAGCGATGTTATATAACAAGTGGGAGGGATACGAACTTGTCGTTACTATGACGATTTTTTAAGCTGGGACTCTGTAAGGTATATATTTCTAATAAGAAATAAATACAATTAGTTATAAGCTGGGTCTGCTTTCTGCATATCAAAATCACTAAAAAAAACAGTTCTCCTTCGGATATAATACGTTTCAAGCCTGTAAATTCCACAGGCGTGGAAAAAGCTGAACATTTGATGATATAGCATCACCAGTAAGCGGTGTCGAATGTAGCCTATTCAAACAAATGCGGCTTCATTACCGGAGAGACTTCCTATATTTTCGCATTCGTTTCATCAAAAACTTAAAGGACAAAGTGTTTTGGTTGAATTTATAAAACTACGAAAATTTTTAAAATTAATATTTGGGACTGTGGACTTAGTGACAGAGCTTGGTCACATATCTACATATTGGTTTTGAAAACGAAAGTTACTAGTTTTATATAGGCGAAATATCCGCATTAACGGATAGTCAATTTCAAATCAAAAAATCATCTAGAATTTAAAAGTGGAGTACTTTTTATGACTTTTAAACTCGTTTGGACGATATCTTAATAGTCAACCAGAGCTCTTGGAATCCATCATGTACCAAATCTTGAATGGCTATCTACAAAAAGCATAACAGAGACAAGTAGTTTCATTGAGGGCACCAAATGGTTTGAACGCAACGGCATCGCGAGATTATAAAGGTTTAACTATATTTTTTTTTTATCAAAATGGCGCATCTCGCGCTAATTGAGCAACAAATTTTAAGCCTTCTTCGGATGTAAAATTTTCGGGAACATTTGTAAAAATCTAAAATGCTTTTAAAAAACAGTTACTCACTATATATTTATAATTTTTCTACATTCTGAAATCACCATAAAACCCCTAGGCTTATGATAAGGCCGCAAAACACCACCTACAAGTGAGTGTGTGTCTCTGCCTATCAATTTCGTATCATTTACAAAATCGACCTTTACATTCATAGGTACATAAATAATAATCTATCAATATATTGTACATAGGTAAATTATAGATATGTGTAAGTAATTTTATATAGTAACTGTATGTAAATGCAGTTGTCGCTTATTAACAGTGATGTGAGAATTGTCACTAATGCTGAAAGGGGCTAACAGCAAACTAAATGACGGCTAATCAATAACGTTAGAACTGGGTAAATATGAAAAGAGGAAGAAAATAAATTTAGTTGCATAAATATGTAAGTAAATGCGTTTGAAAAAATGCTTGTTTGCATAATGATAATTGCTATGATTTATGAATATTTCGAAATGAGTAGAATACCAGTGCAACACGACGCCATTCAACTGAATGGACGATGCAATGTATGTATTTTGTTGTTATGTGTATAATCGTTGGATATCAACTAACGGTATTTGTTGTATACTCAACGTGACAGGTAGACAGGTTATAAGGACGGCTGTCAGTCAGGTATGTTTATAATTTCGGAATTATTTATCAATTTGTAGCCATGTAATGGTTTGTTTATGACACTGACAGTGACAACCAAACACAATTCGCGTTATAAAAATGTTTTTCCATTAATAAAAAAGCAAATTAACGCCAGCTATAATTAATTTTATAACAAAAGCGGGTACATATTAATATGCACTCGTTTTTGTCGTTACACATAAGTACATACGTACATACAAACAAAAATAGTCCCAAAGGATTACGAGTTGCTCGTAAAAACTTTCATAGTATTTTCTGAATGGTCGCTTGTAAATTAATTGTTGACCCCACAAGCGCGCACACATATACATTTGTCAGCTGCATGTGTATGTGTATTTGCATGTTTGTTTACAGTTATGACTGATTACAGTTTGCGCTGCTTGATTGGCTGAATTGTCGTCGTGTTGATTTACCTTTGTCCAGGTAAATAAAACTCCGCTGCACTCATTTCACAATGATTAATTGACGTAAATAACGCAGAGGAATGTAAGGGAATACTTATAACGAGAGTTTATATGCAAGTCTATATATTATATATTTGTGTATGTATGATGGATGATAGCACAATCCTTGATCTTTAAAGAAAGCCAGCGAATTCGAGTTTTTGTTTTTTGGTATATAAGTATTAGCGAAAAGAGAGAGAGGAAGAGAGAGAAAAAGTGCTCACGACAAAGTTGTCTGGAAGCTTATGTTGAGGAAGCCAAGCTCAATAAGAACCTAGGTTGTAGTTGAGGGGTAAGTTCGCTGATATACGACAACAGCCTTTCTGGGTGTTACAAACTTCGTAGCAAGCTTAATACATATATCCTGTTCAGGGCCTTATGTAAAATGATATAGGTGAATATCGCTTGTATAGAAGCGGATTGCTTCAGCATACAGAATTAATTTAATAAAATTTTATAATAAAAAATCATTTTTATTTGTGCGAGTTTTACCGCCTTCACAATAATAAATGGTTTTAATGTTCACAAAAAATAAATAAAAAACATTTTAAAAAACTAAAAATATTCTCAAAAAAAAAAAATGTAATAAATAAATGTAGGTTTTATTAAGTTAAAATGCAGCTATAAAACAGAGTTGCCAACTAAAATGTGCTACAATCAACTAACACTAATTTGACTAAGTGCTGAAATAATCAATGCAACATTCATGAGATGAAATGATCGAGGCGAATAATGCATAGACACCAATGGGTGATGAAATAACGCTAATGCGGGTACGAACGAAACGCGTACGAAATGAGCGGGTGTAAGAAAACTCGTATGCTGGTTATGTAGACACTAGCTTGCAACTGCGATAACCTGCGTTATTGGAGGTTAGTTGAGGTTCAATATATGTATGTATGTATATATATATTTTTTAATTTTTACACTGACAGTACATACAAGCGCTATGTAGACAAGTGAACGCTAAAAGGTTTGTGTGATTGTGTTTATTTTTATTTTTCATATTTTTACGAGTGTGTGTGTGTGTACGAGCACGATAACTCACACATCATGGGAGCTTACTAGATATATACTAAATATATAGCAACTGAAGTTACACACATATATATTTATTATGTTCAATGGAGTGTATTTATATAGATTTAAAGTTGTTGTTTGTAAGAAAATAACGGTGCATTAGAATAGAAAGAGACGGCACATCATACGAGTGAGTGTTTTTTTTTACAGTTACGACGCGTTTGATTTGAGTTGAGTTTGTTTTGTTGTTGTTGTTTTTATGTAATTGATTACATGTGTACAGTTAGTATGAAATGTAATGTTTAATTTGTTTTTGTTGTTATAAGAATTATCATTTTTCTTCGCAAAAGTTGAATATTTAAAAAAATATATATATTTAAAAGTTAACTGTAAACCAACGTTACAACAAATTCAAATCAATTCAAATTAGAATACTGTTATTTTTGCATTGTGAACGAACGAGCGAACGAATGAACGTACGAACGATTGACGATTCTTTTCGTAACTAAATTATTGCTTTTTTGCTAGCTGCACGCTAATAATTGCTTTTGTTGTTTACCTGACAGAATAGAGCCTGATGTTTTGGGTGAATTTATGCGTTTGATTAGTTGGTTGATTGGTTGGTCGGTTGTTTTGGTTGATTGGAAACAGAAACAACGTTGCATTAGAAAGAGGTTTCGAATGAGTTAAACGTACAAAAACAACCAAAAGTGCGTTAGATAAGCGAGTTGTAGTTACATAGTTGTTGTAGCAGTTGTATTTTTATTATTTTTTTTTTTAGAAGTTGGAGCGAAGGAGTATAAATAGTAAGTACAATTGCAGAACGCGTTTAAAAAAGAGCGATGTTAAGCGGTAACAAAGAGATAGAAAGTAATAATGATAAAAAATAAGTGTTAAAAATTTTCAAATTTATTATTTGAGAATTGAAATTTGCTTATACTTTAAAATTAACGCAAATAAAAACGAGATAATTAAAAAAACTAGTTTAATGACATATAATTTTAGGTTAAGTTTGCTAGGTTTGAAATTTTTGTACTTAAATTTAGAAACTAGCCTAAATATTTTTTTAACATACATATATATATAATATTTTTTGTAGTTAAAAAGTTTCTAATTATAAAAAAGTTTACAAAATTTTTTATAGCTATTTTTTCAATATAATATATTACGAAACAAAAGCTGATGATGTGTTAAAAAAATATATTAAAGGTATTCACGAAACAATGAAGCGAGCAAATTTTTTAAGGAACTTCATTAGAGAACAAGTAAATATGTATAACTAAACCTGTTAGATCTTACAAGTCACGAAGTTTGATATAAACAACTTTTATAAAGATTTCTATCTAACCACGCAGCCTAAATGTAGGCAACAAATTCTTATAATTTTGCATTATCATCAGTGGTGTGGTAAATAAATCTATTAGAACTATAATTAGTGCTACATGGCTACATAATGATTTTAAAAGCTCCTAAAAGTAGGCAACGACTTATTATGGAAGTGTTCAAACATTTTTAAATGTTGAAAAATTTATTTCGACCAATTATGTATATTATATAGCCTTTTAAAAAGAGTAAAAAGATATATCTATTTTATTTCATATATTTTCCCCCCTGTTTTTTTTGTTAATACTTGGCAAATATTAATTTTGGAACGCACGGAATTATTAGAAAAATGAACAACCTGCAAATAAGTTGGTTATATATTATTTAGTACTGTTGTGACACTATAAACCTTAGATGAGTGTCTTAATTGTTATTACTTTTACCTAGAGGTAGACAATACTTTATTTTGTTTTACTATATTTAGTATAAAAATGCTCAAAATAGAAGGTTGCCACGTAAAAAACTAAAAGAAAATAGTAGATTGCTTTTTCGTGTTCTTCAAAATTTATATGTTTATATAAAATAATTAAAACATTATAATTAAAATATATATAAACATTTAATAAGTAGCATTTTTAACCAAATTCGTGAATACCCTTAAGTATTTAAAATAATTTTTTTTTTTTTTTTTAATTTATATGCATTGTTATAAATGTTCCTCGAAATTTTGTTTTCAACTTTTTCGATGAATGAAGTAAATGTTTTGAGATGTACGATTTTGATGGACTTGATTCGTTAAAATAGGTACTTTTAATTCTAATTATTTATTTATTTTATTTGCAGAACAAGAAAGCAATTCATCAAATGCTTTAGCAAAATTTGAAAAAGCTGCAATAACGGGGAAGCGTGTACATAAAAAGTAATGATTTGCAAAAGCACGTTAGCTATGTATGTATATATTATAACGGTTACATGAAGCGTAAAAGTGTAACGTACAACTCAATTACAGAGTGTTCTTACGACAATATTAACAAGTGATTTTGTTTTAATTCAAAATTTTTTTACTTTCAAAACTGCTGTGGCAGGAAAATGCTTGGGATAAGGTAATTGATTGATAGAATTGTGCGAAGATTGGCTTGTAAACCGTTAGCAACTACAAATTGCATTTAAATTGTACGATTATATGCGAAAAAATATATATTAATAGCGCAAGTAATGGATACTACAGAGAATGGTTGGTGTAAATGAGCGCAAGTTAGCTGGTGATGGTAGTCGAAAAGTGAGGTTAGACTTTATTTTGGCAGAGATTTCGACTGAATCTGGGGTTTATTAGTTATAAAAGAATGTTGTAGGAAGCAGGCAACACATGAAAACGCAATATTTAAAAAAGTTCAAGCTACTTCAGCGACTCAAACTACCATGAAAGTGTTGCCAAAGTAAATAACTCTACAATAAGGAGAGAAGTGTTGGTACGAGACGCGAAAATCGCATTCAGTAATTTATTAAAAATAGTTTTTGGGGTTTGTGGATTGTATTTAACTATCACTTGTTTGAGGAAATGTGTTTTTTTTCTTCAACTTTATGCATAATCCACAAAAAAAAATTTTTTGCAGACTTACATTTACATAGAATGCTTGGGACTTATTATAAAAAGTGTGCGTTCTAGCAACTTTTCAAAGCTTTTACATTTACAGTGGAAATAATTACTTTTTCTACCATTTCCACTGACATTAAATTAATTTTATACAAAAAGTAAATGTTGAAAACTACACTCTCCAGTATTAAACGGCAGTTAATATAAAAAAATGTAAATGACGCTATAACGTTTCTGAAACTGACTAGAATACGATAAGTGTTAATGAATACTACCATGATAAAAAGCAGTTTTACATAAAAAAAAAAACTATGGTTACTAAGTTGGGACCTAATTTTTAAAAGGAAAAAATTTAAATTAAGAAATTTACCAGCAATTTTTAGTGGAAAAAATGCAGTTTAAATTTTGCACACAAGCAAAATTTGTAGCTACAGTTCTTAAATAATAAAATTGAAACCAGCAACAAGTTCATTAAACTAAAAATTACGCCAGTGGCATATTTTTGTAGACTTTTATCAAATTAAGGGAGAATAAAACAAATTATGCACGAATTTGCGTCAGCAAAAGGTGTCAAAAAATTAGATAAGAATAATAAAAATAAATAAAATTAAAAAAATTTTGTAAACAGCGCTTGCGCAAAGAAAAAAATATATATAACTTGACTGCAGTTAAAATATTATAAATTGAAAATAGCATTGTGCTAGAGCGCACATGAAGCCATTCTTACCAATGCCAAATGGTTTGCAAGGCGGCTCGTCATTGCTGCCCTTGCCGCCAAAGCTGTGGCGATTGCGTGTGCCAAAGTCGCGTATGGCTGGATGTGCTAAATGAAAAAATATTATATACATATATTATATATATTTCAATGTATTTATATAGTTTTGAGGTACCTGGAAATTTGGAGTTCAATGTTTGATTGTTGAGATCAGCGAAGGATTCGGAGCGTCCGACATTCAGCAGCGACTCCATGGAGGCATCGAAACGCATGAGCTGCACAAGAGATATACAAATGAAACAATATTGCATTACATATTATTTATAATGTGGTTTCCTTAAAAAAAAAGTACTTTACTAAATTGTGACTACATAATATAAGTTCAACTACTTGCTTGTTAAAATTATTTATAAAAAAAGAAAAAGGGTAGCTAAAAAGTTTGTGTAACCAAAGTAACTAAATAGTTAAAAAGAATGAAACAAACACATACATACATATAAAACACACACATTTAAAAGTGGCACATAAAAAGTGGATTCGAAACTAAACGTTTTGAAATACTCAAATTCCCAAGGCGTCAAATATTAGTTCGTTTTTGATGTTTCCACTATATATGCTTTTTTGTTAAATTGGTGATTAATGTGTCATTTGCATTTGTGCTGCTGTAGTGAATACTTACGAGTGAAATTTAAAACTTCTTCCGAGAATTATTCGATAAACTAAGTATTTACGTAGACAAAGGAAATATATACTTACGGTTATTAGTTATTTTTTTTTTTCAAATTATTATATTCGATTTAGTAAATAAAAAATTTTTTAATGAAAAACCTCTTTAAATTAAAATTTTTTTCTTAAAAAATATGTAAAAAAAAGAAAAATAAATTGTTTTTTGCTAAAAAAAATTATATAATAAAAAAAAATATTCCTTACAAGAACTTGATTTTTGGCATCACTTTGTATGACAGCTATATGCTATAGCGATTCGATTTGAACAATTTTTTCGGAGATTGCACCGTTGCTTTAGACAATAATCCATGCCAAAGTTCTTGAAGATATCTCGTCAAATGAAAAAGTTTTCCATATAATCACTCGATACCGATCGCTCTGTTTGTATGGCAGCTATATGCTATAGTGGTCCGATATAATATATATTTTATAGGGTCTTCGACGTTTCCTTTTGGGTGTTACAAACATCATAGCAAACTTATTATACAATACCATGTTTAGGGTATAATAAAAAAATATAATTGTAAATTCAACGAATATTTTGAGTTTTTGTGGCCACTTGTGTATAAGCGTGTATTATTCACTGATCACTCAGGCCTCCAGCGAATTGTGCAGATATATTATCAATAGAATATATGTTAATATTGGATTCCGCCCGAGATTAGCTTTCCTTATTATTTAACTTTTTTCTTAATTTTCTAATTGTAAACCTTTACATTTTGCAGCACTTTGTACCCAGCCTAACAAAATCAATTTTAAATTTAGTCATATAACATATAGAAATCATGAAATATTAGGTTAGAGTGGGAGGATTTTAGCCTGATAATTGGAATAAAACCAAGTTATATCCAACGGAGTCGCTGTACACGACGAAAACTACGTTTCCCACTCCTCTCCCTGTTCACACGACAGTCGGGTCTACGTAACCGGAACGGACTCGGATTTTATCCGGCCAAGCACTGTCAACTCGGCAGTATTTTGTCGCTACAACAACAACGGAAACCACGTAAAAGAGGAATGATTAATGTTGTTGCCATAATAATTAAAAATTTTTACATATTTTTAACGACATTGTTTTTCATAAATTAAATATTCTCATAATTTTATCAATGGAATTAAAATCGACACTAGTCTCAAATAGCCTTGGTCCACATCTTTCCCTAAAAATTAGGTAAAAGATACTGATAATGAGCAGAAAAAAAACTTTTTATATAATAATTTTGAGGAATGATACCGAGTTAAAAATCCATAGTCAGATAAAAATCAGTGTCCGTGGGAGATTACCTTGATCCGAATGTAGGGGACACGGTATTGTAATGTGTTTGTAAGTCAGATTGTAGTCTTTTTACATTTACAATTGGCAAAATTTATGAATAATTAATATTTTATAATTACAAAAAAAAAAACATTTTAAAAACATCTTAAAAAATGTATAAAAGTAAATATAAAAACAATTTGTAAAAGAAAACATTACAACAACAAAAAAAATTATATATAAAATACAACATATAAATTTATTAATTTTATTCAATAAAAAAAAATTTATAATAAATTTTATAAAAAAAAATTATAAAATTAAAAAAAAACAATAATAAAATAAATAACATACTAAAAAAAATAAATTAATTATAAAAAAACAAATAAAAAAATTAAATATAAAAAATATATAAAAATAATTTAGAAAAACATCATTCTAACAATAAAAAAACTAAATAATTAATGTACAAAAATTGTTTATAAAAAATATAACATCCTAAAAATGTATTCAATTAATTAAATAAAAACAAAATATTTATAATAGTGTAAACAAAAAAAAAAAACAAGAAAGTTCTAAATTCGGGTGTAACCAAACATTTTATACTCTCGCAACTTACAAGGATCAAAGATCGGGAAATTACTTCAGATGTTGACAAAATTTTATATTAAAGGAAGTATTGATCCGTTTCAACCCATTTTTTAACACAAAAACATACTATTATCGAGAGTTTCATTTATTTATTTTATTATATGAATTTCAATTATATATCTTACACATTGACGAATATTTTCGGTAAAGAATCAACTATAGGCACTAGGGTCCACATATTCAGTACATAGGGGTTTGAACAGTTTTGGTTCGGTTAAGACAATTTTTGGTCACAAGGTGGCATACTTTAAACGCATTATTCCCGCAAAAGTTTACCCCGATATAATCATTGTTGCTTGATATGCATAGTGGAAAGTGAAAGAATCAGATGGAATTTAAAATGGTGATATATGGGAAATTGGCGTGGTTGTAATCCGATTTCGGCCATTTTCGCACTATAACATAGAGATATGAAAATAATGTACCTAATTTGGTTGAAATCGGTTAAGCAGATCCATAGATATGGGTTTTTACCTAAAAGTGGGCGGTGCCACGCCCACGGTCTAATTTTCAACGCGGTTCCTATAAAGTCATCTCATACCATCCCAGAGATAATATTTAATGTCTCTGGCGTGTTTAGTTCTTGATTTTTCGCGCTTTTAGTAGTTTTCAACAGTACCGTTATATGGGGAGTGTGCGGGGTTGTCACCCGATTTCACCCATTTTCACACTGTTGATAGAGGTGCTAAGAGGTTCGTTTTCAGTGAATTTTGCTATTATAGCTTTAGCGGTTTAGAAGATATGCACATTAAGCATATTAGGGGCGGGACCACGCCCACTTAAATTTTTTTTTTTTACTGCAGATGTCCCTCCCTAATGTGATCCTGTATACCAAATAACAATCTTGTATTTTATTGTGGCAATATGGCAGACGGACGGATGGACGGACAGACAGTCACCCGGATTTCAACTCGTCTCTTCATCCTGATCATTTATATATACATAACCCTATATCTAACTCGATTAGTTTTAGGTGATACAAACAACCGTTAGGTAAACAAAACTATTATTCTCTGTAGCAACTTGTTGCGAGATTTTATTATATTATTATTTATAATAACCAGAGTGTAAAACGATATTATCGCGTAGAAAAATTAAAAATTATTATACATTTAATGTCAATCATTTTAATATTTACTACATTTTATATGAATTTTTACTTTTTAAAAACTTCACAATTTTTAAGTCTTTTAAATACCTAAAAATTTATATAAATATATAAACAAATTTATTGATCCGGTTTTCGGTTACAAATTCATATTTTCAAGCAGCTAAAATTTTACTTATAGAATTTGTATTTTTTTTGTCATTAGAACTACACCACAGGATACGCAGAAAAAGACTTGACAGCACAGAAAAACAAAAACAAAATCAAAAATAATATATATATCAGCCCCTTCAAATCCACTTTTTATGCTTGACTTTGTTGTTTTTGCAAAAATGTTTTCAATTTCGTTTTGCACACTTCGCATACTTACACTTGCAGTTGTTGTTTCTTTAACCGTCTGTTGGACAGACAGTTACAAATTAACGATACGTTCAACGTATATCGAATGTGTTTATGTGCAGACGGCGGTTATTTCATAATTTTTACGCACCAATTATCATTACAACAATACATATTGTTTGTTTAAATTTTTTGTTGTTGGTGGTTAATAAGTTTGTTAATAATTGTAGTACATAGGTGAGGTGGTAGAATTCAAATTTTGTTCGACATTTGGTGAGGACAATACACATATTGACATATTGATTCAAATTTGTTTGGTTAAGTTTTGGTTATTTGTTTTGGTTGTTTTTTTTTAGGTGAAAGCGCAAAAAAGTGAGAAAAAAGAAGAATTTTGTTTTAGAGCTTGGTAATATAGTTCATAGATACGAATTCAAATTAATAATCGGTTAAATAATTCTTATATATACATACATAAATGCACGTAGTACATATTGTATGTATATATAGTATAGTAGAAGCAGCTAAAATTGTGATACGAGAATTTGGCGGAAAATAATAAAGCTTTTGTGTCAAAAAACACAACTAACTACGATGTGTCTGGTAGTGACTGGTGACGTAGCTACGAATAATTGTGAACCGAAAGTTTGAGTGGCATACAGTACCTGTGAGAAATTGGGCACGCTGACCGTCTTGCGCATCGATAGCGGCTGACCATGCGCAGTCTCCAATTCTTTGACGGCGACGCTTTGGCGCAAGCGATCCAGCGTCAGTATGCTCTCCACAGCGGAAACGCCGCGCGTGTATTTTTCTAAGCATAAAAATAAAATTTAATAAATATATAATAAACAACAAAAAACGAACACGAACCGATGTAGGTTTCGCCATCACTTGCGGAACAATCATCGCCGCTGGCGGCCAGTTGTGCCAACGATTCGCGATCCTCCAGCTCTTCGGATGCTTTTGGTATGTTGGATACCACTTCGTAGGTGACGCCCGTTTGCAATATGGCATTCTCGCCGCGCACCAAACGGAACTTCTTCAAGCGGTCGGTAATGCTCGGACCCTTCTTGATGTTTATGCTTATGCGTTTGCGCAACACCAAATCCATGGGTGCTGGATGTGAGAGCCGCACAGTGGTGCGTAAGATCAGGTATACGCGCTCATTCGCTTCGGTAACACGATTCAAAGCCTGACTGTCGTGCATGGACGAATCCCAACTGGCTATCGAGCAGACATCTTTCTCCAGATGTTGTAGTATTTGTAGCGTGTAGAATTTATGTCCATGCTCTTTGGAGAGTATCGAATTTTGACCGGCAACAGAGAATTCATCATTGGTATTTTGTGCGGACATATCGTCGGCATTTAGATCGAGAAACAATACGGGTACGTGCGGTTCCATGCCGGCGGGTGGCTCCCAAGAGGCTGGCGCGCCGGGTATACCAGAACCGGGTGCGGGCACCAAAACGGCATTGCGCTCTTCGGTCAACGACACCCACTGGTGCACCAAACTCAGCTCGCGTTCACGCTCCTCCTCGGTCTTCTCCTCTTTCTTGATAAGCTTTTGTATCTGCTGATCGAGGTATGAGCGTCGACGTCCGAGCGCTTCACTCCAACGCTCACGCAGCACTGTGAGATCTTCTTCTTGATACGAGTCGAGTGGTCGTTGTAGACGCGAACGCACACTGATGCTGCCGATTGCAATATTTACTATGGACTGACAGATGATCGGTAGCGTGCCGGAATTTTGTACCGGCTTGACGCGCACATTTACGCGCCGTTGTTGACCCTGACGCAACTGATAGATGCCACCGGTGAGCACTTCGGTGCGATTTGTCACCTCCACCGGTGTGTATTCACCATTGTCATTTAGCTCATGTATTTCCACCCACAATTCGATTTTACGCGACAGTTCCGCCCAACGGTCGACAAGCGAACGCGCCTTAGCCTGCTGTTGCTCCACCTCCCAGCCTTTGGTTTTGGAGAAACCGGCGCTGCGGTGACCCCAAACTTCAACCGATAGCGCACCCTCAATACAGTGCTCTATGAATTCCTCATTTATGGCGACGGTGAAGTCCTTGGTGTGCTCAAATTTAAATACTTTATTCTGATCGTGTGAGGGCGCTTCTGCGTTGATCACTGGCACCACCGTCTCCTGGTGGCCCCAAAATGTGTACTGACAGAAAACGAAGTTGGAGAGTGAGAGCGGCAAGCCGGTGGCACTCTTTATTGAGACACGGCAAGTGATTTGATTGGACATTGGATCGACGGGATCATCGTATTCGTCACGTGAATCGGTCGAAGACTCGGAAATCGATTCGCACATGCGATCCTGTGGCATTTGACCGGCAATGCGTTGTACCTCGACCTGAAGTCGGCCAGCAACTTCACCTTGTTGACTTATAATGGGCGTGTGATAGTCCAGCTTAACATCGTGGAAGAGTACCTCAAGGAATATATTGGCGACACCAATCAGATTGTGATTCTCCTGTGACTCGTAGAATGGATCCAACGATTTGGAGTTTTCGCTTTCCTGAAAATGCGTCGGAAATTAGTAAAAAAAAAAAAAAAAGGTCTAATAAACTTGTGGTTGTGTGTGTTAAATCAAAAGGAATTGCAAAGGAGAGAGAGTATTTGATAGGCATGTTCATATGGAAGAGTAGTAAGTAACAATTACCTCATCGCTATCTTCATCGTCGGAGTATGTTTCAACGACAGGCTTTATTATTTATTTAGTTAGTTTTTTTCGAGCAGTGTATTTTGAGCGAATTGCAATAGGTTAGTAAAAATGGAGAAATGCAGAGATGTTGAAATGGAATAGCATAGTTAGCATACATACATACAAACTGGCTTATTTATATACAAGCATTGAATGCGAGTAGATGAAATGAAATGAGTGGACTGTAGCTTACTTACCAAGCCATTCAAAATGCGTTCCTTGTGCTCCTGATACATTTCGCGCATGTCAATCAGTTTGTTTTCTAACTTTTCCATGGTCCAAATTTGACTACCGGAATTCGTGCGTTTCACCAAAATGGCTGGTTCGCTGACAAAAGCACCACGCTGCAAGGGAATATATCAGAAAATGGTACATTTAAGTAGTTGTTGGAGAGAATTGAATAATATTATATATATATATATAAATACCTAAATAACAAGAACAACCGTTAACTTCGGTTGCACCGAAGCTATAATACCCTTCACAAATAAAAAGTTTAAATACAAGAACTTGATTTTCATCGATCGGTTTGTATGACAGCTATATGCTATAGTTGTTCAATCTGAACAGTTTATTCGAACCGTGTACCGTTGTTTTTGACAATGATATGTTCCAAATTTTGTGCAAATGTCTTGTCAAATAAAAAGTTTTCCAAGCAAGAACGTAATTTTGATCTATTAGTTTGTATGGCAGCTATATGCTATAGTGGTCCAATATCGGTCGTTCCGACAAATGAGCAGCTTCTTGGGGAGAAAAGTACGTGTGAAAAATTTCAGATTGATATCTCAAAAACTGAGTAGTTCGCGTATCAGACGGATATGATTAAATTGACTGAGCTTGTCACTCTAATCATTTACATTTATATGCATTTACTTTATAGGGGCTCCGACGTTTCCTTTTGGGTGTTACAAATTTCGTGTCAAACTTAATATACCATGTTCAGGGACCCTTTAAAAATCTATAATTACTTATAGAACCTACATTACGAAACCAGACAGAGTATGTTCAGCATATAAAAATATATTTTCTCGATATATAAAATATTTTTCGGTATATAATGTTTAATGCTTGGCAAAGAAAGAAACGGTCGTATTTAATCATCATTAAAATTACTATCGTAAAATATTATCTAACCATACTTTTTGTTGTAAAATTTCCTAACCTAATTAAATTCATATTTTAAACTCACTCGCGCTCACGTATAAAGTTATTATAACCTTCATGTATTAGCATTTCAGCTTGCTGAATAGCTGTCAAAAGTCTACACTTACCCGCCGATTTGGACTAAGATTGGCTGGCGGTATTTGCAAAGTAACTGAGAATTTTGTCTTCTTCTCCATCTCCTCGGCGAGGAAGTTGGCCTCCTGTACCAAAGCATTGGCGCGCATAATATCGTTTTTCAATTGGCCCAGCGAACGCTTGAACATCTCATCACGCTCCTAAAAACACAAATTACCATGTAAATATTTATGTATGTCTTTACCTTCTGAAATTAATGTGTAAGCTAATAGTCGCTAATGAAGCGATAATAAATAACTGTGCCTACCTGTGCCCACTTTTCCACGCGCATTTGCGATGTAGGTGTGTTCGGTGTAATCTTACCCAAACGTAAGGGATCGTATGGTGTATACGGGGCGTAGGGTGTGCTGGGCGATAGCGTGTTACGCAACTGTTGGAACTGGCGCTCATACTCCTATGAATGCGTGTTTAAAACCAAATATATAATTTTAAAGGCTCATAAAAGTTAGTTGTTGTTTGCTCACCTGTCGCTGCTTCTCTAGAGCCACCTGTTTGTCCTCCTCGTGTTGCCGCTCGAGCCGAGCGATGGCCGTTTGTATGGGATCATTGCTCAGTTCATTTTGCATTATCTCATCGCGCGCAAAATTATAATCGATCAGCTGTGCCGGGGTTTGTGGTTCCGAGATCATGTTGGCATTGGCGCTCTTTGGACAATTAACACGGAAGAAATGATGATTACCCCAGAGTATGCGATCGCCATTGAGCAATGGAATTTTCTCCAGCACTGCCGAACCATTCACAAAGCAACGGGCACCCTGTATGGGTTCCATAAAGAGGCCACCATCTTCGATGACAATGACACAGTGTTCAGATTGTATACCAAGGCCGGATAGTTGTATGTCTGGTTGTTGGCCGGAAATGCTATGACCACCGATTAGGGTGCGTTCCTGGAAATAAAACGAATAAGTTTAAAAACTGTAAAATTGGTAATGACTATGTCAAAAAGTATTCTCCAAATATTTCAGTTGAGATTCTCGGCTGCAACAACAAAAGCAAAACCGATAGCATAGTTTCGAAGGTAAAATTATGAATAACGGTATTTCTTTAGAGAGTGTTATCAAAGAAATGGAAAAATGTTATTGTTGTAGCAGAAGTAAGCATAATCATTTGAAAAAAAATTTTAAATGAAGTGTAGAATGTTGTTGGTGTAGCGGAAGAAAAAATACATATATATTTGGGAAATGTTGTCTTCCCGTTACAATGAAAACAAACACCCAAACATTTGTATGAACAACAACGTTAGTAATATTTACAGATGAAAGGAAAGCGGAGTAGCCGGTGGGAACTGGGACTGTTAGACCTACTGTACACTTAATAAAAAAGTTTACTGGAACAACAACATAGAACCAAGATCTAATTGGTAGACAAGTATATCTGTTGTTGTTGTTGTGTTATAAAACATTTGCCAAATATGCTTCGAGAATGCTGCGTAGATGAAAATCTTTGAGCGTAAAAAACTCTGGGTTCGTTTCGGTTATGCAAACCCGATTGTCAAAAAAAAAACGAGACATGATAATCTAAAAAATAACGATTCTGATGTATACCGCTTATATAACTACATATCAACAGTCGCTCGCAATTCGAATTAACAACAACAACAACAACTACACCAATACTACCACCACTCACCTTTAAATAGTAAACCAACAACTCATTCAGGGACGGATCAGCATTCAAATTGACTAAATAATATTTGTTCTTCTCCACTTTAATACCGCTCGCCTGCACGCTAATGCCCATCTTTTCGAGCGCCTGCTGACGTTCGTTTTGTATGCGTTCGGTTTTCACCAATTTCTCCTCCCACGTTTGTGAGATTTGCTTCATCAAATTCTCACTTTCGGCCAGCTTGTCGTGGATATCCACACGTTGTACATCGCCCACTGGCGAACCGGTCGCATGTTTCAGCATATTACGTAACGCCTCTACTTCCAGTCGCAATTCGCGTATGATGCGCGCATTCGGATCCTCATTGACGACAGCGTGATTGACAATACGCTTGGCACGGTCGGCGTAACGCAGCGTCGAAAGCGTCTCCTCGTAATTATCGGCAGATGGTGATATTGTGGCAACCATAACGGTTTTTGAATTACCACCCAAATTGTCCTTCAACAGCCATGTGAGTACAGAGTCGCGATAGGGTACGAATTTGTCATTGCCACTCTTTTTGCCATTCGATTGATCGGCCAACTTCGAAATGACCAAACCCAGGGTGGTGAGTGATCTGGAAAATGTAAATTGAAAGAATATGTAAGCATAAAAATATATATACATTTTTTTTAAATAACTAAAATAACTTTAACAATACATATTTCCCTTCCTTCCCCACACACACACACAGACACAAACTCACTTATTAATGTTGGAGCCCTCCTTGAGTCGATCGCCAACAGCACCAGTCTTCACAGCGCGTTCGGAACCAGCCAAATCCACCAACGACATACGTGACACCTTCTCACCGCTCACACCGGTCGCCTGATCTGTTAGTATTTGTGTGAGCACCACCGAGAAAACAGCATGCGAACGTGACGATTCCGCATTCATATTCGTTGCGGCGACAGTACGTGATTTATTGCCTTCGGTCATGAGATTGTCAATATCCTTGTATGAGGAAACCGCCAATTGCGACAGACCATCCACATATGGACCCAATACATTGTGTTCACGCACCTTGAGTGACTGTTTATTTGGTTTCGGATCAAGCAGATCGTGCACTTTCTCATTGTAGATCTCCATGTAGGACACCTCAACCTTATACATGAGATCCTGTGTCGTTTTATTGGCTATAGCTGAGAAGAGCTCATCGCAGAGGCGTGGTATGATGCCTTTGGACTCGAGCGAACCCATCATTGTGTATGATTTGCCGGAGCCTAAGAAGGGTAGCGAATAAATAAAGTGAATAAATAGTTCAGTATGTTTTGTATGTATGTATATAGTGTGTACTCACCTGTTTGGCCATAGGCGAATATGCAGGCATTGTAGCCTTGGAATGCATTATAGAGTATATCACGTCCCACACAATCGAAGACGGACTCTTGTGAGGCGAAATTCAGATCTTCGGGATTTAACGAGTAGAAGCAGTGATCGAATGCAAATGTCTTGGGTGGTTTTCTGAAACGATTAAAAATATACCATAATTTATGTGGAAAAAAGAAAGCATGTAATAGTACAGAGAAGCAGCGACAAAACAATTTTCGCAATCATTATGATCAAATAGGCTTAGTTATGCGAGGGAGCACGTGCGCGAGCATTAAATCAGATACAGACATTACAATTATGTGCTGCAAGCGGTGTGTGCCCTGCAGGAAAATTTTAAGCAGTTTCGAATATGATTCGATTTTCAGTAGCAGAGAACCATATAACGGTACTCATAGGTTTCTTTACATATTACTTCGAACGAAGGCATATGCCAATCGAGCTTGAAGTCTATCTTCTTTGTTTGTAAATTATAATAATTACGAAGCAAATTGATGATACATGACTAGCTGTCTTTGGAGATATGGCTTGTCTGAGTGTCCTTGGAGAACATAAGTCTGCTTGGGACTTATACCAGTTGTTGTTGAAAAAAAGGCAAACAGACCAACACATTTGTCTACTTTACTTATAACGAACGTTTTTATGTAACAGAGTTTGCTATGGTAAGATTGATGAAATAATAACAAAATCTCGTCTACTCCGAAGAAGTTAAACACGACCAAGATGACCAGTTTCTCTGAACTTTTAACGAAGTTGAGAAATATTATAAGCGAATTACTCAGTTACTTATTGTGCGATATTTTAATCATTTTTTTATTCCCTATCGTAGCGTTGTGGGGTATAGCCGTACCAAAGTTTGGACTAAAAGTAGAAAATACCCGTTAAAACATTCGAGAAACTTTATTATAATAAGGAAAATGTTGTTAAAAAAATATGTTTTGTAGACTAGGCGGTCACTAATTTAATCTGTTCGGAATCTACAAATTTTCCTACAGGGCAACTACTAAATTTTTCTTCTAGTTATATACTAGTACAGACATTTTTATATGGTATATATATTATATATACATATGTATAACTAGAAACTGCATTAAGACCTCGCTTACCTCTCCAATTTGTCCAGTGATGGCGGATTTTGCAGAATTGTCTGCTGTTTTTCCATCTCCACGATGCATTTTGTGCCCAACTCGATTTCTGAAAAGAAAAGAAGACAACATTAATTTCAATCATTATGCACAATATTGAATATTATATGCCATTTAGTGGACGCTTCAATGGTTTGCTCTCGGTTGGTGCGGAAGTGAGGATGATTCATCGATAAATATACATATAAAAATAAATTATTGATATTATCCTAGTCATAATCTAGTGCGTATGCCTGCAGTATATATATAAAATAAAATATTGATCGTAAACGGGCATTTGAGATAAAGAAAAATACCTAATAGAAAGGAAATGCATTTTTATTAAGAAGAAATATTTATGTACCTTTTATTTAACTATCATATTATTAAAGGAAAGCGATGACTACTATGTATAAGAGCACCGTTTTAGACGTTAAGGGTCTAGATGCATGAATTTCTGGCAATTTTTGAAGTGTCGTAAAAAAACGACAACTAATGTTTTTACTATTAATTCTTATTCGATATTTATTAACATTACAGTAATACAGGAAAAATCAAAAAATTAAAAAAAAATTACGTTACTAGCAATTTAACAAAAAAAAAAAAAATTATAATCGAGAATAACGTCGCAATGTCTAGAACTACGGAAAAGTTGAAAAAAAAAATATTTTACGAAATGGCGACTGCCTGAAAAAGAAGAAACAATTTTCGTACCACTTTTTTTGAATGTTCCAATTTTTTTTTTACATAGTAAACATTTAAATTTGGATATATGGTAGTTCCAGACATAGATAAGCCTATAAAGAAGACTATCCAAAATGTTCAGGTATATCGGTCCAGTAGAACCTGAGAAATGGTGGGATCGTTTTGAAAGACAGTTTCGAGAAAAACGCATTTAAAGTTTTGAGTCAAAACTAAACCGGCCAAGTTGCAACGACACGAAAAAGGCTATAACTTTGAAAATAATTTGATTTTTGTAAAACCCTTTTAGAGAGATGTTTTTGAATATATGTATGTATAAGCTGTCAAAATAAGCAAGGACACATTTTTGGATATGTTAAAATTTCTAGCCTAGAATACACCCTTAAACACAAGTATAATCACGTTTTTTATTGGATTAACTTGAGTAGAATTACAGAAATGCCGTTACTGTTGAATGAAAACATCGTTCATCATACAATACATTAATGACATTTATTAATTCGCACGGTTCTGTAATTAAATGTATTCTTTTCAAAATAATACGGTAAGAGAGGGAGGGAAAGAGATGAGACCTAAGTTAGTGTTTCATTGCATAATATATAAAATTTAAGATATTCCACGGAATTATAATCTGCATGTGCGTAAAAATAATAAAAGTATCTTGAAAATTTTAATTTTATTTTTATATTTAATAAAAAAAAAGAAGAAAGGTTACATGTTTCGAAGTGACAGTCATCTCAATTCAAATCTCGTGCACGTAACGGTAATATATTGGATTACGCTCTCCATCCTGGGTTCTCTTAAGGGTTTACGGCTTCAAAAACTCGATTTTTTATTGTCTTATTTAATTCAATAACATCTCTAGAATATTGTCATAAATACTCAAGCTGATTAGAGTAATAGTTTTGGAGATATGGCCTTGAAAGTGGCGCGCTCGAAGTCGGCTTTATAATCACTTAAAATTTTAAACGTTTTTCTCGAAACCGTGTTTTCAAAGTCGATTGCCAAGATTTCCCTCGAACTACTAAATTTTTTTCAATTACAACTATTAAAAAAACGTCGAGAAATGCTCAACAAAATTTGCATATTTTTGTAAAAACTTCTTCAGAATCGAAGTTCTACTGCCAACACGGAGGTATCTTTTTTCGAGGGACTGCCGGAAATGACGTCGTAATTGTCGAATTTTGAATATTTTCCTTTGAAATTTTAAAAAAATTTTGTAAAATATGTACCTTTGGAATAATAAAAAGTTTGAATAACATATTTAATTTTTGATATAAAATAAAATCATTGCAAATAAACTTTTTTTGCGATAGGAAACCTATTTAACCACTTAAATCTTTTATAGAACACAAAGTTAACCATTAACGGTGCATATAATAGACAATATTTTACCAATAAAATTTCTGAGGTATTTACTGTCTTTAAAAATTTTGTCCAGAAAAGTTTAAAGAACATTTCTCTTGAACAAAGCAACTCTCTAATGTTTTTGCATATGTATCTTTTTTGATACAATTAAAAAAATAAATATTTAATGATAGATTTTGTAAATTTTGCGCTACAAAAGTTATCATCGGAACAACTTCAACTTTAGACCTCTTAAATTTGTCAACATAAATAAAGCGAAAGCGTGACAAAGTTCCTAAAAGTGTTCCATTTCTCCAAGCTAACGGAATGCGATGAGCTCCTTTTACATCCACCATATCCAAAAAGAAAGTTGAGAACATTGAATAATAAATTCTACATAAATTATTCTGCAAAAGAAGCACAATCTTCTTATCACACGAATACACTTAGTTGCATACTCGTTCCACGTCTCGTGCATACGAAATTGAACTTTCGCCTTCGCTCAATGTGCAGCAGAATGGTGACCCGTTTAAGTGGAGCAGCAGAATATTGATAAAGCGAAATGCATTTGAATTGCATAAGTGGCATCTTTTGCTGGGATTTCAAGAAATTCAATTGATAATTAGAAATCTAGCTTGGTTTAAGTAGAAAAACGTGCGATGAGTGGAAAGCGAATAATAGAAATTTTATATTTATTTATGTAAATAGATAGAGAAATTGCATAATTGATATGAACTGATTTAATATTGAATATTTTTGTGAACTGAAAATTCACACTGAGCGAAAGTAACTGCCATTTAATTAAATTAATAATTTCGTAGGAAATAATAATTCGGATTTATTGAAATTTTGAATACACAAAAGGTACTTTGAGATTCACGGCTATGGCAGCATTAAAGAATTGTTGCAAAAGTGTTTAGGAAATTGATTTTTTTGCAAATATGACGTCGAGTAGAGGTCGCTTGACAACGTAGCAGAAGACGTATGATTATTGGTTACGATTTACTGGGTTAATGAATTAGACGTAGAAACTGTCCAAAAATGAGCTGAAATGAAAACAACCAAAATTCGCTGAACTGAAAATAAACCGCAATGGTATTGTCCACTCTAAAACATTTGGGAAGTACAACTGTCATGAGCTTGCAAAATATAGAGGCAAGAGAGAATAATTATGTGCTTATAGTTAAGTGTGCATTATTTTCGAATAGCAAGTTCAACGCTTGTTCCATACTAATGGGAACATCCTTCATTATGAACCTCATTTCAGGACCAGTATGCTAATGTCGAAGTTTCTGAATCAATAAACTCCAAGTACGATTTTGAGAATTGTGTTGAAGTTTTTGGGAGTACTCTTTTGGGCGAATTCTCGATCACATTATTGTTCTTTTAATACCAGCTTTCGTTAAAGGAGCTAGGGACGTCTGCGATTTTTATAAAATTTGACTATTGTGGTTTAGTTGGTGTAGCTCTGGATATTTAAATTAATTCTAAGACAGTATGTATGTCACCATTTTGAACACCATTAAAGTCTTTACATATAACCTTAATTTATCATATATAATGTTTTCCATTTAATAAGTTATACAGAGTGAATTATTAAACATTCTAATTCTAATAATTAGTGTAAACGAAACTATTGAAGGTTATGTATGCAAAAACAACACAAGGAATGTGTTAATTAACTAGACTTCAAATTAGGCATATTTGCTAATATATAAATATTATTTATTATTACTTCCTTTTCTTATATACATACATAAATATCTATGAAGGGCGAAAATTAACAAACGCTGAAAAATTCGATTTCTCTGGCGTTTAGTTTTGATTAATTTCTCATTACACACTCGTTTAATCGCGTTTTTGTGCGAATTAAAATGCAATGCGATAAATATAAACAATAAACAATGCTTGAGATAATACATTATTTTCGAATTAAATATATCAAAATATTTCAATACTATAGGTAGAATAAAACAAAAGAAAAAAAAACACAACTGAAGTTCAATGTGCAAGCAAGATTGGGCCGAACTTAATTTAAGTCATGTGCTATCAGCCGAAATGTAAATATGTAGATGTAGATGAGCTTACTTGGTATAAAAAAATATGTGTGTTTTTGGACTAGGCGATTCGTTGCACTCTCGTATATATTTATAATTTTTGTATCAGAAAAAATTTTGAAAATATTTTGAATGCGGCGGGGAAGTTTATATATATACATATATATTAGAAAAAATACATATATTTATAACTAATAAAACAATTAATTAACATAAAGTCTAAGTCCTACCCAAAGTAAAAGTACGTAATTTTCAAAAAATCTGCACACGATCTTCCAAAATCTTTAATACTAAATAAAATTAGGAACGTTTCAAGGAATGTTGATGTTTTTTTATCGACCTCTACTATTTTTCGTAAATCCCATATGGGAGCTCTCACAAGGTAACTGAGGATTGTAGAGTGAACTTTGAGGTTATGATATCATATATAAGTAATCAATAAGCTGAGAGTGTAGTTAATACTGCTTCGATTTTCAAGTTAAGTAAGGCTAACAAAACTAAAGCGAACAGCTGCAGAATATTTTATCGATAGTTTGTGGATTGGTCCTGAGTCATTTAATGAATAACACATTCGAAATTAAGTATATAAAAACTAATCAATATCAGAATTTCAAATTGAAACCGAGTTTGTCATATGTAAATTTTAAGACAATAATTCTTTGAATAAAAAGAGATTATTAAATTCTTATATTTCATAATTTAGTTTAATATTGAAACTACATATTACATGGTTCTTTTTTTTTTAAAAAAACTCGATTATATTGATGAAGCCCTTCAAAAATTAAGCTAGCTTATGTTTTCTAAAATCAAGGATAAATGAAGATTGCATACTGCGAACATTGGCTAAAGACCCCGAGAATAGCAACCCGACATAATATTGTGATCAAAAAGTAAAGTAAAATTTTCATTTAAAACTACCGGCATCAGGCAGGTAGCTCAACTTTTTTTTCTAAGTTGGTAGGAT